TGTAAAAAAAAGAGGGACGACGCACCTTCAATCTCTTCCATTGAAGAAAAGTGAAGCCGCCATTGTCCCAACAGGGCGCGGCCGTATTGCGCTGATTTGGAACCGGAGTCTGCGCAGTAGAGAACTCGGGACCAGAGTCTGTGCAGTAGCGAGCGAAGTGGAGCCGCGTCCCGCCCACACTCTTGCAGAGTCGATCGCAAGCATACGCCCCTGACCCTGTTTTAATTAGCCTGACTGCTCCAGTTTTTGTCTGCTGAGAGGATTGTGTTAAAATAAGGTAAATACAACTCCAATATCCTCCTAAAGATCCCGAAAAAGTCAGTTGGCGCCTCCGTTCACTCAGAAAAGCTGTCAGTCTCAGCTGTCAATCATGACGTCACACTCCCGTTTTTATAGCATCATTTAACTAAAACCAAAATTATTTAAAAAATGAACACTTGAACTTACATCAGCGTGATAAAATCTACATCAAATGACAAAAGCCATCTTTGGAAAAAAAAATTTTGAAGTGAAATTTAATTATTTAGTATGTCCCATTAGATTGCATGGAGAGGGCGGGATTTATGACCTATACTGGGACCAGCCACCTGGGGGTGATCGAAACGCAATGGCTTCACTTTTTAAGACTCGTACGGCACACTTGGTGCTGACAAACAATATAAAAACAGACGTCACATAGGGCTAAATGCATAGCATTTTACTAAAACTGCTTACTTTACAGCAGCGAGGAAGATGAACGTGCATGAGTTATTTTATTTCATCTGTGTTATTTTAATGTTTTTTGACCTAAAACATAGAGACTCTGAAATGAATGTGTCTGCATTCAAGCATTTCAGTGGGCTTAAACAGATTTAGTTTACAGCAGATTTAGTTCACAAACAACTGACAGCTTTGACCTAAATATGATTTTCAGTTACAATAATTAATACTACATTTCGACATTAACTTACTTTTAACAGCATCAGACACGCGCGCGCTCACAAGATATCCCGGTTCTTACTTGTGAATTCAGTTCACTGGAGACTCGCACTAAACGGATCATTTGAATCAGTGATTTGGTGACTCGAGATCAGCTGCAATCGGATCATTCCAATTCGTGAATGAATTGTTTGGTGCAATTTGCAAACCGATTTAACGGGTTCAATGAAAAGAATCAGTTCGTTCATGAATCAGACACCGCTTCTGCGTCTCGGAGCACGTGATATATTATAAGGAGTAACGATAAGTTTTATGAAATGTAGTGAAGTAAAAAGTACGATCTTATGCTTTGGAATTTAGTGAAGTAAAAGTTACTCCAAATAAAACTACTCCAGTAAAGTACAGATACTTGAAAAATGTACAGTCAGAGGCGTCATGCCCATTCAAAGTGAGGGGCACGTGCCCCCTCAGATTTTTGAGCCAAGTCAAGTGGATTTTGAATGCAGCTTCCAAAACACAAAAATAGCTGATTAATATTTTCTATATTTAATACAAGCAACTTTTAGCAACAAATCGATCTGCCTTTAGCAACTTCCCCTGAAAATTAGTTGGCAACACTGGCTTCTGCGTCTCGGAGCACGTGATATATTATAAGGAGTAACGATAAGTTTTATGAAATGTAGTGAAGTAAAAAGTACGATCTTATGCTTTGGAATTTAGTGAAGTAAAAGTTACTCCAAATAAAACTACTCCAGTAAAGTACAGATACTTGAAAAATGTACAGTCAGAGGCGTCATGCCCATTCAAAGTGAGGGGCACGTGCCCCCTCAGATTTTTGAGCCAAGTCAAGTGGATTTTGAATGCAGCTTCCAAAACACAAAAATAGCTGATTAATATTTTCTATATTTAATACAATCACACCGGCATGATTAGAACGTTCAGTGCGTCATATCATCAGCAGCTAAATTCAAATCTGGCGCAGAGCCAGAGACAGATGCGTTTTTACAGCACTGTGCATTATAACAATCACACACGATGCTGTTGACCTACCCCCTCCCAAACAACTAACAGGTTGTTTTTGACCTATGAATGCTGATTCTTTACAGCGAAAAAAAGTCAACCGGTGTATCTTTTAACATCGGATGTTTGGTTTGTAAGTGACTAATCAGTTTCACAGGTTTCAAACTGTCGTTTGCAAGGACCTTTGAACATAAAACACACTGTGGACGTGGTTCGTTATTAATTGTGATGCACGTGAATCCGTATTTTATGTAACTTACTGTTAGTGTTCGTCATACTTCCGTCGCTTTAATGCACACAGGCCTTTGGTTTTGACTCTTAACTTTTATAAAGAATATCTCTTTGGATTTGAGACTTTAGTCTTTGCAACTTTATGGATCTTCTTTATGCACCAAGAGCTTGTAACACTCCAAAGAGAAAGAAAAAATTTAAATCGCATCATATGACCCCTTTAACGTTAATCCTTTCTGTGTGGAGATCCCCGTTGACGTGGAGGGTTCGTGGTCAGTTTGAAGTCGTAATGCTTCAGATGGGCACTCCTCTTCTTTTTTGTCGGACGGTTCACCCGTTTTACTTTCACTGGTATTAATCTTAAAAAGCCATCGGTACATTTTATTTTTTACGTTACTTACTTTTTCTTGAACTCGATCGCACCAACTCTGCTCTAACAGCTGCCTGATAATTAGCTGCGGGACTAATCAGATTGCCCCCTAGACTGTCAGTGGAAATGTTCTTTGATAATGTAAATGTTCTTTGCTCTCTTTCTGTACAATGAAAGTGTTATGATAAGTAGCCTAACTTGCAATGTTTTTATTCACATTAACTTTCAATGTTAAATTCACATTAAATATAAAGTCAGTCGTATTAAAAAGATGTTATGGCATGACACTCATATCTGTTAATTAAGTAAACAGACAGGTTTTTATGCATAGTTAATAGACTACATTATTAGGTAACTTTGACCATCGATCAATATCTATAAAGGTGAGAATCAAGATATTTCATGATATAATTAATGCGTTTGGGAATGTTTCGAATAAACAGGAAAAAATAAATAAAACGTGCTGTTGTGGCTGCTGTGTGTCACATGACGACCCCACATTAAATAAGTAAAACTACTTCGTTACTGTCCACCACTGCATAAATGTATTTAAAACATTAATCTCATAACATTATTTATTGCAGTTGTAATTTTGCAGTGTAAATGATTTAATCTGACTGGTAACAGCCCTATGTCTTATATTGAATTTGTTGATAAATTGTAATAATTTGTCATAAAAGATGATGCATACATTTAAAGAGGCTAAAAAATAGGCCTTTGTAAAGGTAAATAAAAATATGCAGATTTAAGTATGTAAAAGCTGATAGAACACTGATGAAAATATTGCTTCAGAATAAATTGTTTACTCCACCAAAAATCTTGGTGATGCCGTACTTTGTGGGGATATTTTGTATGAATTGTCTGCTGATATGAAAAGTTCACTATATATCGTAGTAATAAATATAATTTATGACAGTGATGATATTTAGTTTTCTTTTACATTAAACACATTAAATATTACGTAAGCTGGCCCATATGATTTCTTGTCTTTTAACGTTACTATGAGGCCCAGTTACTATAACAATACAAGTTGTGACCGCTACATAAATGTCTGCATTAGCGAACTTAACGAATTTCAAGATGAGATTAATTCATTTATTTTCTTTAGTAATGATTCATTACTGCAAATTTGCAAATAGCGACATTCTTTGTCAAATTTTCAATTTCAAAATGTAGACACCTAGAAATGCACGTGTTGGTTATGTAGTTCTTTAGTATTTGAAACAATGATGTGAATTGTCTTGTATGCAGTTTCCTGCAGCATGGTGCTGTCGGTCTCAGATGGAGTCATCAGAGGTTATTTTCAAAAGGTCAGTCACACTTTCTAAATATTTTATCCCTGTTAAATGGTCCCACAGTCGTTTTTATGCGTCACTGCACAGTTTCGTATTTTTCACAAACTTTCAAAACGTTTAGGGTTTGTCCCTAAACTTAAATTAAACTTAAATCAACCTGGAAGTCTTTATTGGAGAATGTAATACTGCAGTTTATCATAATAGCCGTTAGGTGGCACCGCTACATCACTGAGTGTTTATGTAGCGTTTATGTATATTTATATACACTAGTTATTTCTATCTTTTGCTGTAGTGTGTCAGTAGGAAATATCAGTTTACATTTCCAATCATTGCTTTTGCCATTAATTATAATCATCCAGTGAGATTTTTGAATGCACTAGGAGTGTGACAACAGAGATCTGATCTCACCATCATCCAGTCTGTCTGAATTGACATGAAGAAACAGAACAAACTGAGACCGACTAAATCCAGAAGAATCGTGGCAACGTCTCCAAGACGCTTCAAGACTGGATGATAGTGAGATCAGATCTCTGTTATCAGACTCTTTGTGTGCAGAAAAATCTCACTGGATTATTACAATTAATGGCAAAAGGAATGTTTGGAAATGTAAACTTATTTCCTACTGACACACTACAGCAAAAGATAATAATAATAAATAATATAAAAAATAATAAATACCTTGTTACAATAATTCACTTGTATTGTTTATTTTTTATTATTTACACCTAATTGAACCTGGCAGGTGTGCTTCAGTTTGAACAATGACTTTCTTATGTGTATTTGCTATTGATCTATAAATACCTTCCTTAAATTGATTGTCACAAACATGTAATAGACACATTTGTGACCCTGGAAAACCAGTCTTAAGTCGCTGGGGTATATTTGTAGCAATAGCCAAAAATACATCTATGGGTCAAAATAATTGATTTTTCTTTTATGCCAAAAATCATTAGGATATTAAGTAAAGATCATGTGCCATGAAGATATTTTGTAAATTTCCTACTGTAAATATATTAAAACTTCATTTTTGATTAGTAATATGCATTGCTAACAATTTCATTTCAACTTTAAAGGCGATTTTCTCAATATTTTAATTTTTTTGCACCCTCAAGATTCCAGATTTTCAAATAGTTGTATCTCGGCCACATATTGTCCTATCCTAACAAACCATACATCAATGGAAAGCTTATTATTATTATTATTATACATTTTCACATTTATGGTTGTATGTTTTTTCTTTTTTCTCTTAGGTTTTCCTGGACTACAGGCCTGTATACGACCCCTTCCTCTTCTTTTAGCTACAGGTGGGGGTTATGTAGGATATGATCAATATGGGCGATACAAAGATCGGCAGCTGGAGAAGCTTGGCATTGAAGTGCCACCACGGATTGCCAGTGAAATTCAGGTAAGGTCAAACTCCGAATATAGTATTATTTGCATGTAAAATTTCCAGACAAATTAACACATGGATCTGTTGCAAAACATTGCCATTGCAAATGCATTGTCTGCCACATCCACCACTTATTTCCCCACAGTCTAATTTCAGCACAGTAGGTTGTGTGCCATGAACTATGCAAAAATTTAAGTTCCCTGATTCTGTGAAAACTGATATCCCAAACACTGAAACATTTTTTGTACTGGTGTGGCTTAGGGATGGGTCACGATTTTCAAATATTCGATTAGTTGATTTATGAATAGAATATCGAATAGGCTGTGCGAGTTTTTTTTGTTTTTGTTTTTTTTAGACAATTACTCTCCATGTTTTCGGTGCTGATGTGGTGGTGACGCGTTCATGTAAGCAGAGGGTGGCGCTGCCAGTAGCGCACCTAAAAGCTGTCAAAGACAACAGAACACCACATTGTCTCACGCGCGCACTGCAGATTTGCGTCAGGATTTAACCGCCAAATCTTCATCTCAGCGGCTGATTTCCTTTATTCTAGCAGCGGCCCGTCTGCGACAAAACGAGCTTGGGCCGAAGGTAGATGCACACAACTACACCAAGTGTGGACCTGGCGCACGTACTTTCAGCCGAGATTGGCCCATAGAGAAAAAGCCGTTGTTCTGACGATTTGTGCTACACTGTCAGATTTTGCTACCTCCCATTAAAACGGATGGTAGCATAATTCGATAGTGAAAAGTGCTACCTATCAGATTTTGCTTCCAGCATGATATTAATAAAGTAACATGTACACCTACCCCAACCCTAAACCTACCCTTACAGTAGGATAAATACAGTGTTGGGTAGCATAACCTAAGGGTACTGTAAGGGTAGGTTTAGGGTTGGGGTAGGTGTACATGTTACTTTATTAATATCATGCTGGAAGCAAAATCTGATAGGTAGCACTTTTCGCTATCGAATTATGCTACCATCTGTTTTAATGGGAGGTAGCAAAATCTGATAGGGTAGCACAAATAGTCAGAAAACCGAAATCGGCCCGAATGTGCTTCTATCTGGGTGTTCTCTGCGGCCGGACTACAATTGTGAACAGATTGCGCTCCCGTCTTCATCCCGAACATGTGGACATGCTCAGTTTTTGAATAAAAATATGAGATGGGTTATTGTTATGAAGACAGACGATAAAATTAATGTTCACATAAGTGCCGTCATTCAGACTGTTCACAATGTTTTAACGCGTTTAGACCATCATTATAGCTTGAGGTGAGATTCATGGATTAATTAATCAAACTTTTGATTTTCTTTTTAAATTGCTATTAATGTTTATACTCATTTTTGAAATGGAAATGTCCTAGCCTTATGAGCAGTGTATGCTAATCGACGGACTGTTCAATTCAATTCAAGTTTATTTGTATAGCGCTTTTCACGATACAAATCGTTGCAAAGCAACTTTACAGCAAATTAAGTTTCTACAATATTTAGTAGTAGCTTATCAGTGGTGACTGTCAGTTAATGTACATATGGCAGAAATGTACGGAAAAATCAATTAAA